GGCTGAGGGCTTGAGAGACAGTGCATGGCAGCAGTTAAGAATACAGGCTGGGGGATTCCCTGATGGCACAGTGGTTAAGAATCCGCCTGCTAATGCAGGGGACATGGGTTCGAGCCCTGGTCTGGGAAGATCCCACATGCCGCGGAGCAACTAAGCCCGTGCACCACAACTACTGAAGCCTGAACGCCTAGAGCCCGTGCTCCACAAAAAGAGAAGCCACTGCGATGAGAAGCCCATGCACCACAACGAAGAGTAGCCACCCACTTGCCACAACTAGAGAAAGCCTGCACACAGTAACGAAGGCCCAATGCAGCCAAAAATAAAAAATAAATAAATTAAAAAAAAAAAAAAAGAATACAGGCTGGGGTCCCAGCATGACTCTACCACTTAACAGCTGAGCAGTCTTGGGCAAGTGACTTAACCTCTCTGTGCTTCAGTTTCCTCACCTGTGAAATGCAGATAATAGCAATGCCTACCCCAAAGGATTGCAGTAAGGATTCAAAGAGTTAATACACAGAAAGTGTGGACCATTGATCATCTCCATATTTCCTTTAGGGTCTTGCTGGCATAATGCCTCTCACATATTAGATGCTCATTGAATCTTTGCAGACAGCATGGTCTGCCCCCGGGAGTTGTTGAGTTGTTTTCTCCATTCCTGTCACTCCTATCCTAACCTTCTTGTCTTTTATGAAAGGTAGGTAAGTCACAGCCTCATTCTGGGCCATTTAGGGGACTACAGACACCCCATCAAAAATAACTCAGGTTAGGGGGCTTCCCTGGTGGCGCAGTGGTTGAGGGTCCACCTGCCAATGCAGGGGACGCGGGTTCGTGCCCCGGTCCGGGAAGATCCCACATGCCGCGGAGCGGCTGGGCCCGTGGGCCATGGCCGCTGGGCCTGCGCGTCCGGGGCCTGTGCTCCGCAACGGGAGAGGCCACACAACAGTGAGAGGCCCGCGTACCGCAAGAAAAAAAAAAAACTCAGGTTAAAAAAATACCTTAAATAATCCTCAAATATTCCTTCATTATATTAAGACTGACTCCCCAATAACAGCAATATAACCAGACAATGTCCAGCTTTCTCCTTCACTTTGAGCTATGTAGTCTTTCTCCCCAGAGCCAAGGCTCACTAACTCTACATTTTCTATAAAGTATAAATGAGAAGCCAAATTGTTCAGAAAACTGTGACTAGTAGCTGGAAATATATATATATGCATATATATACACACACATATACACACAAACACACTCAAATAACATTTAAGAGTCCACACTAAAGTTATGAAACACACCCGTATTAATGTGATTTATCAAAGTACAAGAAATGAATTGCCACAAATGAACAACTGCTCCAAAGTCAAGTAGGTGCCATAATGTGATTTACGCATATCACATGAGATAAATAAATCCACGGTGGAAAAGAGCAAAGGCAAAGCTGGAATCGTTGTTAATGTGTACAGGGCTTCACTGAAAATCTTCTTAATAAAACTGTTTAGAGGAAAATAGAGGGATCATTTGTTTAAATGAAAAGAGATACTGCATGCGCTGAATTTCAAAAGCAGCATTCATTTTTACACACACACGTTAGATCTGGCTAAAATTAGCTCAAGTTTCTATTTTTTTAAAGGTCTTAAAGAATAAAGGTTTCAATAAGATTTCATTGAGCTAAAAGCTCAGTCCTGAGTTTCCAAGGTGCCTGAGTGTCTAGGGAAGACGCCCCCCCCCCGCCATTATCCACCCTGTGCATCGTCCCAATTTCTCCATCCTCCCTCCCTTCACCCCAGGTCTTAAACAGGAAACATACAAAGGCTGTGCCACACCAATGCTCCATTTCTGCTGCCTCCACTGCCTCTTACTTCCCCCTCTACATATTCCACTCTGGCTGACGTCATCACTGAAATATACTCATCCCGCCTGCCTGTCAAACTTCCTGCCAGGCGCAAGAACCCAAAGCCCAATCTCAAAGATCACTTTCATGCCAATGGCTCCTCCAAGTTTATCTCCAGACTGGACCTCTCGGTAATCTTATTCCCACACTCTACTGTCTGCTGGACTCCAGGAACTCAGATGTCCACCGGCACCTGGGCTTCTGCCTCAATGGCCTCATCAATTACATACCATGCACTTGCTTGTTATGGCCCTGGCACTGAAATGGTCACCCTCACACTCTCCATCTCTTCCCACAGAAATGCTAACCAGTCTTCAGAGTTCAACTCCAACTGTCCCTCCTCCTCCAAGTCTTTCCCCACATCCTACTCAGCATCATTCTTCTGAATTCCTTCTGTGTTAGAACCTGCCCCAGTAAGTACAACCCACCCCATTCTGCTTTGTATTGGTTATTTCAGAGCATTTCTTCTTCCCCCTACTTGACCACGAAGTATATAACCTCCTCCTAGTAGCTCTTACCCACTCTGTGCAGTAGTAAAAAACAAAAAATACACAGCGAATAAATGAATGAATCATTTCTTTACATAGACAGTGCCTGTGAATGAGGTAGGTCGAAACTGCTAGAGCTGTATTGTATTGATAAAACAGCTAGAGCCAGAAATAACTGTAATCTAGGTTTTATTTTATTTTTTTAAAAAAGAAAAAACCTTAATGAGTATACCAGAGTACAACGTGAATGATACTGTTTCCTTGCTTACATTTAGCCATCAATTGTGAGGACTGTAATGAGGCCACTATTTATGCAAAACGTTTAGCTAATGCTTATAAGCTTCCTTTAAATGCGATCCTAGGAAATGTCAGCTGCTTAAAACTCAAGGTGACTCTGTACTGCTTTGTCAGTAATATGAGTATTCCTATGACACTTAATATACTGTACTATGTACTATAAAAACCTGGATCTCTTCTCAATAAGCTACACATACTGACCAAGAGATAGGACTGTTTGCTGCCCATTTTTTTCACAATAAATTCTTGAGACATTCCTGTTTTAACACATGATTCTCTTTAAACACCACAGGTTGAAAAAAATTGCATGTGTGTTAACCACATATGCAATTAAGCCACTTCCCCCAAAACTTCAAGGTGAGGATTTTCTGCCTAAAATGGATAATACCCCTAAGAGAGAAATTAGCAATAAGACATCGCACCCCTTTCAACGGAGCTGACACTTGTAGACCTTATGAGGCTTAACTCTGCACAGAATTCTAGAGTTGCTCTATCTCCTTTGAAAGACGCTTTCCCTAACCCACAGCCCATAAAATGTAAAGTACCCAGTTCCATATTTCACAAGGATAGAATGTGTATGATAACTTCCTCTCTCCCCTGCCTCGCCCCCCAGTAGGACTTTACTGACCCCCCTTTCTGAGGCACAGTACTTCCGGCATTCAGGTATGTGTGTGTTTTTACTCAGACTGCAGGCAGTCACTTATGCCTGCAACTCAGCAGTTCATCCTACAATATAAAAACAATACACAGGCAACCTGCATCAGGAATCAAGGGAGACTGACCCAAAGTTCAGAAAAATAAATAAAAGGCCCGTTGGCTTTGCAGGGCTGCAAATGTCTACAATGTTGGTCCAAAGACCAAGGTACAGGGATATTTACTTATTCCGAGTCATGTATGGTTGAGAAGCAACCATCACCAAACAAGAACATTACAATCATCCTGTCAAGACAAGTCACAGGTTCACAGTGACAGCATAGGTTCATGGATCATAAACCATATACCAGGTACTACTCTGCTCAGTGTACAAGTATTATGTCATTCCATCCTCACAGCAGCCCTAGAGAAACGTCTAATATTATCTCCAACTTACACAGAAGAAACTGAGGCACAGGAAGTTTACAGGACTGCCCAAGTTCACAGCGGCAGCTCTAGATTTTAAATTCAGACAGGCTGGTTCCAGAGCCCTGCGCTCTTATCTCAAATACCATGGAATTTCTATGGAAGTTAAAAACTGGATCTTAGAAGCCCGGGGTTGGCGGGGGGTGGGGGGGTTCTTTACTAAAAGAAATCTACTGAATCAGTTTCAAAATGAACATTTTGATAAAGCAAGTATACGTTAGCTGAAAATCCAGAGTTTTGTATGTGAGGTTTGGTAAAAGTGGACTGTGTATCTCACCAAGTAAGGAAATCCAACATGACTCAGGAAGAGCCGCCCAGAGACCACCCGATCCAGCCTTTGCCAAAGCTGTGGAACATCAGTATGACTCCAAGAGACCATTAAGGCTCATTTTGATTCAGTAGATCTAGGGTGGAGCCCCTATTCTATTTTTTTTAACCTCTCCCGGTGATTCTGGTGCCCAGCCAGGCTCGGGAACCTCTGAACTAGTCTATTTCCACAGCTTGGAGCAGGACTCCTCCCAAGGCAAACAGAAAGAAGGGATCTATTTCACAATCTCCTCCGGTTGCGAATACCAGTGTTCTCAAGCCCTTATTGCCCCAACTTCTAACTAACTTCCACGGTCTCCTGATTTCATGTAGGCACTCTCCTCTTGTCTTCCCTTCAACAGTGAACCATGAGTCATCAACCCTGCATCCACCCTGGGTCTGCATGACTCTCCAGATGAGAAAAATTTACTGTACATGAAGAAATCAGGAAGTTGTAAAATCCAAACAGACACAGAGAAATTCGAAATCCAACAAATACGGGTTGCTACCAAACAAACGAGCCCGTCTCCCTACACAAGGGTCATACTACAACAATAACCTAAAACATGACTTAAGATAACCATTTGGTAGCAAAACTTTCTCACCAGCTTGAAGTACAGGTGACAATTAAAATGATCAGGCCCAAGCCCAACACACACAATAATCGACCATCCACAAAGTCAGAGGTAGACTAGTTCACAAACCAAATAAATCAAAAAGAGAAATACTTGAATCCGAGCTTTGAAAAACACCTCTCGGCGATTTCTCAATTTCCCACACAATACAGTTTGCAAAGACAATTATCTTAAACAGTCTACAAAGTGCTGAAGTACGGCTAGTAGGCGACTTTCCCAGGTCAGACTTTATCCTCAGATGGAAACTAGAGAGCATCGCAAAACTCTCACCTGATGGGTGACGCACTTTCCTGCAGTGGCTGCGGAGGACGAGCCTGCTGTCCCAAGATGACAGACAAATCTGCAGCTTGAATGGACCACCCTGGTGATTTGCTGCACGATCCTCCTGCAATGGTCCAGGGGGTGCAGAAGAGGAAATCCAAAATGAGAAACAGAACGGATGGCTTTAAAAAAATAATTCCACCTGCAAGTGCCCATGCACTGAAATCTAAACTTTAAGAACATCACATTTTGCATTGTTTTATGAGAATTACACAGCTACCAGCCAGCCCAAAAGGCAGGTCTGGTTTTATTCGACAGGGCTCAGAGGGAGGCCAACACACAGAAAGGTCATCCCTTCAATCAAATTAAGAGCTTGGTCTCCCCATTTGAGACAGCTACTGTCATTCTTTTCTCTAATGATTCTAGCCAATTTCCTCAGAAAACACATGCTGGTAATCACAGGACTATCAGGTGAAAATGGGCATGGACTGAATAGTAATTGAGCCAGAGTCTAACTTTCATGAGGCCTATCTTACTATCAACATGCAACTTTGAGGCACAATCATGAAACAGAGCACAGTTATTAGCATACCAGTCTAATGGGCTAGAAGAAAGAATAGAATGCAGAAAAAAAAATGTTAAGTATGCATATACTCACTAGACTTTTTTTTCCACTAAACTTTAAATGATTTAATTACTGAATGTATGTCTACTTGATTTTCATTCTGCCACAGTATCTTGAGCATGTTTAAGTAAAAATTACCCACTGTATGATGAATGAGTGAATGTGTGAATGGATGAATGAAAGAGAGAATGAATGAATCTTCCATATACCTTTCCATCAGGGAGCTTGGTGCTTGTAGTAGGTTTTGTGAGGTAAAGACCTATGCATAGAAATGGAAGAAGTTGAGGACTCGATCTGCTAACATAGTTTCCAGCACTATCTATTTAAATCATGTTTTTAAATACTGGTAGTTCCCAACTGTCCACATTAAATAAAATCAGTAGCACAGTTATTATAAACTAATCCCCAAACTAGTCATTGCTGGACTGAGTTTTTTCAGCCTTTGATTACTGGAGCTGATCTGCATATTTGTTTAGGCTGGTTTTAAATTTAGTTTGGGTTTCCTAAGCCCACGCCAGGTAACAGTAGGAAGGAGAAGGCCCAGGATTATATTGGGTGTCAGAAAAAAACTATTCTGGAGCTATGAATATGATCTCCAATGTGAATAATCTGTAAACAGGTAAGTGAGCCAATTATCCTTGGGTACATGGCAACACATCTCATGATTATTTTCATCCATACACACTCACTATTTTTAAGAGCACAGCCCAGCTGGAAAGGAAAATAATTTCGATTGCTTTCCAACACTGTGCAAAGTAATGAATAATAGCCAAAGTATTCTTACTTCTAGCTAATCCATTCACCAAGTATTTATTTAAGCATCTACTGCATGCCTGGGACTGATATGCAGAAGAAGAAAGTTTTCTAGGCCTTGGTTTCCCCACATGTAATAAGTGTAGACAGAGAAAGAACGAAGCTGTTCGAGACTATAACGTCTCTGAAGTCCTTGGAAGACACTGTCCTTCACTAAGAAGCTTGTTGAGTTACAAATATAAATAGTGGCCAAATTAAATAAAAGCTCATAATATTCTATTTATTCTTACACAGTACTTGTTTTAAGGGCCCGGGAGGGGGTAGTAATCTTGATTTTATCTAGTAACATCTCAAATGAAGCATCAAAATACTTGATCATCATTTTCAAACAAGGTACAGGTACCGTGGATTTGCAAAGTGCTTGCTTTATGAGCTAACAGTTGAGAGTGTTGCCTTGTGTATCGATGTATGTGCACACCATCCTATTTACCTATCACCTGGCAGATAAGGTTTTATAGAGTCCAAATTACAGTCTCCTCCTATTCTGCTGAAGTGCAGAGGACAGTCAAACATGATGCAAATGCTGTAAAATATTAATTTACTCTCACGTTGGTATGCCTACTTGTTTCAAAAGCATTTGTGTTGCTACACCAGTTAGACTAACTCAAAGAGTTAACATAACTTGCTGTGTTCCACTGGAGGGAAGAAACACAAGGATAAAGCAAGGCAGAGTGGACTCTGTATTGCAAAAACATACAAACAACATACCATACCAGAAAATAGCCTATAGACTGTTTTATGTATCTGCTAAAAATGGAACCCTTAATATTCAAAAAGCACAGCAGGGCAACATAACACAATACTATTAATAGTGGAAGATAGAAAGATGGCCTAAGTAATACTGATGTGACAATCAGTAAAGAGGTGATAATATATAAATAATATGGATACAGGATATAATATAAATACTTCGGGAAGAGTAGGCCAAAGCTAAGGGTGTAATAAAAGAAAATTTGCCGTACGCGGTGACAGAAAAAATACATTTTCTTTGAACGTTAGAAGCATAAATGTTTACAGGTTAGCAGCTATGACGATGATCACTAAAAACTTCTGCTAAATATGTTTTGTCAAAACGTGTCCGTTAAAGAGCACCTAAATAGAAAAAAAGGAGTTCCTCTTAGCCTGAATCCAAACACCGTCATCAGGGGAACCTCTGCCCCCCGAAAGCCTCAAACTGTGATTACACTACAATGAATTTTCTGAAAAGTAATTTTCAGGTTTAGGATACAATTTTTGCTTACGTTATTGCCATTACCATTGCATTTTCATTACTCCACAAATGCGATGCATTAAAAGCTATAAAAAAATCAATGAATCAGTCCTGCTCACATCAAATATGTCAAAGAGAATATAATGTTTGTTGCTTTTTCGTCTTTAATAGTTCTAAAATGTGTTTTAGTACATTTGAGATGGTAATAGGTAGTACACATATTTATAGTACATTGGCCTGAAAACTTCAGGTTTATAAGGATTATAAAATATATTACTACACTGATAAAGACAAAGATACATAAATTATGAAACAGGAAAGAGATTTCTAAAAACTATTTCCACCAATAAAGATTAGTTACCTAAACCTTTTTATTACTCCTGTAATTGTAAGTATTTACATATTTTTAAAACCTTGATCCAATTACAACTCTTTCGGCCAACATCTGAAAATATTCTCCAACACTAGCATGGCGTATACTCATTATTATACCACCTCTTAAATTCTGAATGTGTATTTTATTAAACTGAATTGAATGAAACTAAAATTTGAACAGCATCATTGAGGACTACAAAATTCCTTAAAAAGGGGCAGTCTTGTGTGGAACACCCTAGAACAGAAATTATTATCTCTATTGGGATTTCTATGATTTCTTATTTTCAATGCTTTTCACAAAATAAGGAGAGCCTGCTTCTGATAAGTTTGGCAGTATGAGCAGAACTAAATCTGTTGTTTGAAGCAGTTAAGCTGCACATATCAAAAGATATAAAGCAATGGAAATCAAATCATCTGTCTCCCCTATAAAAATAATATTCTGCCTTGCTGTACTATGTCATCTTACACAAGTATTTAAGCTCTTCATAGTCTAAACTATGTGTTACTTGCAGACAACTATAAATGAAAGAATTAACATTCACTCCTACCTTCACTAAATTTCAGGCTTTTAGTAAAAACATGTTTATCGACTAACTTCTTATAGGAAACAAAATGAGCCAGTGTTAACCATGCGTTAGTCATCAAAAACTATCATTCAAGGTAAGTGCAAACAGAAAATCCACTTGACATTTCAGAATGGAAAAAAAATAAAGGCACATTTATACAAAAGGGATGTGAATCAAACTCTGTACCAGGAGTCACAGAAACACGCTTATTGATATTTTAATAATCTCTTAAGGCTGGCCTTTCCGGGGACTCCCAGACAACTGAGTTAGGTCTGTTGAAACGTAAGGCCAGTTACAGACATTTCATGGATAAGTTGATGGCTAAAGAGCTGTCCTTGAATTCTTCTCCAAGAGTATAGGACAATTCAGAGGCCGGGAAGCCTAGTTATGATATTTCTAATGAAGTATCACTTCTGTTTACCAAACCCTCTTCAAACGAAATCCAGAAGGGAAAATATTGACTTTCAGAGTTCCCAATCAAGCACATTTTTCATACTTATTTTAGGATGAATTTATTTGTACACTGAAAAATACATGTGCACGTTTGGCTGCAAGTGAAGCGATTTTCTGTACATTGTAAAAGGTAATCCAGGACCTCCAAGGTGTTATGTAAAACTTAAACTTCTGTGCTTTATTTTATATCCTTGCCTCCCCCATCTATTTACCTCCTAGAAATAATGGCCCGTTTTAAACACAGCAACGCTTGATCTGAGCAGGTCACAATCACGTTACCAACTGCATAAACTCGTAAAATGGTAGAAATTCATAAACACCCTGTGAGGAGCAGTAAGGAGCCCTCTCAACAATCTTAGCCCCAGAGGAAAAAAAAGGATTTACCAATGTAGCTAGGGGGCTGTAAAACGGTAAACTGACTGGCAGGGTCACAATGACATCAAGACGTTATTATTCTCAATTATTTTTTCTTTCAAATATCAGAGTTATTAAAATACTCTCCCTTATTTGGATTGCCTGAGCAACACAGAGCTTCAGCAACCAAAGCTACTCTTCTTTCCTTTTTTTTTTTCCAACAGTATTATTTTTCTTTGCTCAGCAGGCTTAATAAGGTGGTCCCCTAATGCAAAGAGAAAAATGCTGTTCTCTACATTATTAAATGCCCATGAAATTATATTCCCAAATAGAGTACAAGTTATTGTGCAAAAGCACCATACATTATCAGTCTACCAGCTATAGACCTCCATCATCTCTTACCTGAGACAAAAACCTTATAACCTACTACCACAAAGGTAACGATCATGGCCAAGAAATCCAAGTTAAGAATGAATACATTCAGAATGACTGCCTACTATCAGTAGCATTTTTTTGCTATTATGACGGCCGTCCAGTTTTCAAATCTGACAATGGGGATATCCTTCTGGAATAAATTACTTCCGCTGAATAAATCTGTTAGAAAACCAGTCGCGACTACTGGCAACTTGAGTTCTAAAGGATGACTTCTTCTGCACTTGAAAGGGTTAAGTGCCTGCAAGGCCAAAGGCACCAGACAGCCTGCAAAAGAAATGCTGCTTTAGTCAGCTCTGAAAGGTTTCTAACAAGTACCAAATACTTGTTGATCTGTTCACAATAAACACCAGCAGGATTGTCGGGCTCCTCTCACTGTCTGGGGAGATGCATTTACATACTGCACCCAGTAAGCACAGCTTGTTGGTCTCCTTTATAAAAGCTGAGTAACTAGAAGCATCATTCAGTGTCTCCCGTCCAAAAATGACAGAAAGAAGATGCAGCTGAAATAGTAAAGTCTCTCATCTGGCTGGGGCAGCACAAATACTGTGCATGAAACACTTGGGAGTAGTCCAGGCACAAGACAAACCCACCTGAATGGACGGAGGAACACTGTCTGTTGCCATGGCAGCCTGATCTAATTACATGAGTGATCAGAGCTGGAGTAAGTACACCGAAAACCTACACCTGCTGACAGGTATCTACGAGATGAGAAAGGCAGGCAGGCAGAAGGTTCAGGGGAGTCCTTCAACCTCTGCTATATGTAGAAGGTGGCACTCAAGCCCAGTTATCTGTGGAGCTGCTAAAATATTGACTGATGCAGGCACAGAGGGCAATCAGAGGAGATTAAATGCCAAAGCATTAGTCGTTATGGTGCAGTCCCTTTCCAAGAGTTCATTTGCAAGATTTTCTCATCCTTCTCTCTGGTGGTTTCTTCAGGCAAACACTGCATTCCAAAATAGGCTGAAGTGTCAAACTGCCTTCACCCACCAAATAAACCACACGGTGGGCTTAAGACAGGGGCTTCTAGGAACTGCAGGGCTCCTCAGAAACCCAAATGAAATAGCTTAGCTAACACTGTCGAAAAAGTAACTAGCTGTGCCTAAAAATAACCTTCAAGTAACTACCCGCTGCTGTGAGCGATATGTAACGATTATGTTTAAATATTAAGAACAGCCTGCATTATAAAACACAAATGTCAATGAGATGTGACTACAAGATTGGCAAAGAACTTATTTGCATACACACATTCCCGTGCATGCACCAGGATGTGCACGGAGTATGCCACTCCAAGCCATTAATTTTTATTCTGTGGGTTTAATAGGGTCTTCTAATTTTGCTAATTGTATCCTGTGGATCTCACAGGGAAACTAAGAATCTCTTCGGGGACAGAACCAGTTTGTAGGAGTCCCTACTGCACGGCATACGGTAAACAAAATAAAAATAGCTTGCCGTTCTCGTTAGCCACATCGCGCATTATATAACCAGCTTCCGACTGGCTTTTTTTTTTTCCCCCTTACTACTCTTCAGCAATTTCCCAATCTCCCGAAGTATTTATATTACCCTCTTATCTGTAGGATTATATACTAAGAAAGCAAAACAAAACAGAGCAGCCACGGGATTGAACCAAACCCACAGTCCTTGGAAACTGATTTTTTTTGTTTGTTTTCTGGCAGGATCTCCACCCCCACCCTACTTCCACCCCCCGCTAAGGTTCTTGCTCAATCTGCCTCGAAAACCTGAATTGTTTCATCGCTTCCAGTCAGCCCCCTACGTGGTCTGAAATAAAATGAAAGCACCAGCCGCGGAGTTCAGGAAGGCGGCCTGAGGGCGGTGGGGAGGGGGGGGGCCGAGAAGGGGTCGGGGCGGTGCGGAGTCAGCCAAGTGGCCACTGAGGGGGCCCTCTCCCCACCGCGACGGCCCCAGCCGCCCCCTCCCCCGCACGCGCGCGCGCGCACACACTCACAATCGCACGCACTCACACTCACGCCGCGCTCCGCCACCGCCTCACCTCTTGCTCAGCGCGGCCGGCCCCCTGCCCCGCCCCGCCCCCTGCGGGACCGGCCTGCGCGCAGCGCTGGAACCACGTAGGAGGTGGCGGCTGCGGTCGCAGGAGTGGCGGAGCCTCCGGCCCGGCCCGGCCCAGAGTGAGCGAGCGGCGGGGCTCCAGGGCGCATCCCAGTTCCCGCAGCGCCGCCGCCGCCGCCGCCACCTCCTCCTTCCCCTCCTCCCGGCTTCATTCACCCTCCCAGCAGCCGCACAGCCGTTCACTCCGGCGCGGGCAGGGCAGCGCCTGCCACGGCTCCCCGGCTCCGGCCGCGGGCGCTGGCGGGGGCGCCGGCCCGGGCTGGGGCGCTCGCGGGCTCCCGGCTCCGGGCCGCTGCGACGGCTGCACATGATCAGGAAGCTGCCGTACCAACAGGGCGGCGGCGGCAGCTGCAGCCAGGGCCGCCACCGCCACTCCGGCCGCGCTCCCGGCACCGCACACCCGCTCCCCCAGCACCCACCCCTCAGTGCCCCCCACTCTCCCACCGCTCTGCGCCCGGCCACGCGCGCGAAGTCCCGGCGCGGCCGCGGGCGCAGACCCTTCCCGGTCCGCAGCCGCACGCCCGGCCAGGCCGGCCTCCGCGGGGAGACCCCCACCCCGGGGCTCCGAGGCCAGGCGGCCCCCGCGGGCAAGCCCAGCCCTTCTCCAGACCCGCTCGCTCTCGCCGCCCTCTTCGGGGAGAGGAGTGAGGAGGGGGCGGCGGGAGGAGGGGGCAGCGCGACCCCCGGCCTCCGCCTCCCCCTACGCCACCTCCAAGGAGGAGGACATGGCTCTCCGCACTCGCGGCCGGACCGGCAGCCGCCGTAGCGGGGCGCCGCCGCCGCCGCTCTCCCCGCCCGCCCGTGCCCCCAGCCCGGGCGCGCCCCCTCGCCTGGCGGGCGCCCACCCAGCCCCTGCAGCCCTCCTGCCAGTTGTCCCTGCTCCCAGAGCGGGGATGTCGGCCCGGGAAGCTGGAGCCGGGGAAGGGTGTATGTACACACACACACACACACAAACACACACCACAACACAACGCGTCGATTTCCTTCGCTCCTCTTCCAGCTGTTTTCCGTGTCGCCGAATGGGGTTTGGGGTTTGTTTCCTGGTTGTTGCTTTTGCCCCTCTAGGGAGAGCGGGGGTAGGGGGGGGAATCTCAATCTAAATCATGGGAGAAGGAGATGGGGGAGGGGGGAGAGAAAGAATCGGAGGAGAAAAAAAAATAGCCACTTACTGTAAAGTGTAAATGGATCTGGGGTTGCGTGGGGAAGGGGGGGCAGAGGGAGAGAAACAGTGTCTTGCGGCTGCTGTAGCTCTGGCTGCTGCTCCACGGGGCTTGTTTTGGATCCCCCTGCAGTGAAACAGGTCCTGTACGGCTCCGCCACTGTAGTAGAAATGATGTCTGCGGTATACTCTGCTCTCTCCTCCTCCTCCCCCCCCCCCCGCTCCTCTCCCCCCGCTCCTCTCCCCTCCCTCCTCCCTCCGCCCGCCCTCCCTCGCGCTCTCTCGCGCTCGCTCGCTAGCTCGCTCCAGTATGTAAATGTGTAATAGAAGCCAAATATGGAGCAGTTGGCTGCCGCCGCCGCAGCTCTGGGATCCGACTTCGGGGGGGCGGGGGGGCACCCTCCGGCGGGCGGCGGGGCGAGCAGCTCTGAGCACGGCGAGCGCACAGCGCGGCGGCCGGTCCGCGCCCTTAACCCTTCGGTGCACGCAGCCCGGGCTCGGAGGCCCCCGGGGAGACGGGCGCGTTTCCCCAAGACCGGCTCGGGATCGAGGGCCGCGGGGCGGGAGGGGTGACCGGGGCCGGAGGGGACAGTGCTTCCAGGTTTGGGAAAGGGGCGGGGAGCTGAAGCGATGAGGTAATTTTAGCGGTGACCGGTAGGTCCTCGCGCGCCTTCCCGGGTCCCTGCATCTAGTTGGAGGGGACAGAGCGACAGCGGGGTGCAACTCAGGGACCCTGGAGGACTCTCCGAGGGCTGTCGAGCTGCAAGTCGGAGACCATGAAATACCCCAAGTGGGAGAGGAGGTGGGCCAATTCTGATCCCGACGTTCCCTTCGTCCTGGGCGCGCCGACAAGCGACTAAGAGGGCTGACTCCGATCTTCACGCATGTTAACCCTCAAACCGGTTTAGCCTCAGCGTTCCGGAAGCCAGCCCACCGAGCCGCGGGGATTGTCTTGGCGTGCAACTCAGGAAAGTTTTAAGGGTCCCCCTGTCTGCACGTGCACCCTCACCTTTCCTGCCTACGAAAGCTGGTGACCTCCCTGCTCTCCCTTCTCTTTCTGCAGGTCCGGAAATCTGCTCTGGGTATGGAACTACCCAGCTTTACCCTGGGTAGACGATCCGCGCACTCCTCTCGCCGCTAATTCGGGATCATTAATTTCATCGGAAATGAGGCAACTAGTGTAGGAGATAGAGAAAGCAAACCGAGCATCAGATGGCAGTTCTCGTGAATCCGCGCCGGAGAACTTCCTCTGGACTCAAATTTAAGTGCGGTTCTCAACTCCTCGGCACCCCGTCCCTCCGTGGGTACCAACGCCTGGCGTTAGCTGGAAGGGAAGGACTCTTCTTTGGAGGGGTGGTACCTGGCCAACAGGTGTGGCACCTGGAGGAAGAGAAGGCACAGCCATGCTAAAGGGAGCTCAGTGCGGCGTTTTCCTGGCTGCAGATAATTCTGGAAGACCGGTAGGTGTCGGGGCAGCATTTGACCTCTTTCAGGTGCTTAGAACCAAGTGTCTAGAAATACGATCCTTACAACGTAAGTTTTTCTCTGGAAGCCTCCACTTGACTGGAAGCTGTATTTGAGAAACCTTTTGGCTGAATTTACTTATGACCTAACGGTTAGTCACCAACTGAAGCAGGATACAGAATCACCAACAGAAATGTGTCAGCTTTTAAACAACTGTATTATAGCGCCAAGGTGCTGCAGAAATAAAAATCAGCACCCTAGCTAGGAAGGTGTAGAGCCCCGGAAATCATTTTTTTTCTCACATTTTGAAATACCATGCACATATACATGGCTATTTTTAAAGAACTACTACTACTGTTTACTCGTTTCTACAACTTTTTTTTTTCACTTAAAAATCAATGATGGTTACAGTTTAAGCCCCAGGTTGGTCTAAAGTGACATTGTTGGTCTCATTACAGCCTCTAGTGGACAATTAAAACCAGTTTCCTGAAAAGGCTCTGCCTGACAAGCGTTATCAAGGTGAAGGTTAATATCTCAGAACGTAACCGGGTAGTAATGTATCTTTCCCCCCTTGGCAGTGCTGGTTTCTGAAAGGAGCATAAGCTGCTAGCTCTGCACGAAAAAGACGTATGCTTTTTGAGGCAGGTATTATTATTACTGGCCTGTGAATAAACAGAGAACTTCTGCTCTTCATTTCAGTTTCAGACAGCTTTCATAAAAAAATTAATTCATCTAAAATATTTTTATAACAGAAAACATTGGTTGCCAAGTTTTTGGCTTAACTGAGATGTTTTCATTCCAACTCCTAATCTTCTGCAGACTGTCCCATCCACCTCCACTCTATTTTTAGACGTCTTACATTTAGAGAATTTGGGGTTCAAAAAAAGCAATATTTTCATTATTACATATTTTAAAAACCTTCAACACATTAAAACACATAACTCAGATTCGAGTGAGTCAGTTAATTTAAATGTTCCCTCAAGGAAGCTAAATACACTTATTACCCAAACAGTAAGAACAATTAAGAACTGTGTCATTTACTTACTTAGCCATTAAGGTTAAAGCCAGAAACTGCCATTAAAATTTGTAACTATTTCTTCCTGCAAGGTCCAACATAAATGTAATACTTATGATACAGTTTCACTACCTTTAGTACTGAAATGTTGTTGTTTCCAGTGGCAAAACTTTAAATGTACAGTCACAAATAACTGGCCTTGATTCTTTAAAAACAATACTTTCTCATGCAAAAAAAAAAAAAAAAACTCAATGAAAGAAGAGCAGGGTTTTCAACAAGCCAGTAAGCAAAGATGTAGTACTATGCTCCTAGTCATAAACCTGATACTATATTCAGGCAAGTGTAAGTCGAACTTTGAAATTAAAGGAAATTGAGAAATAAGGCTCGCTGAGCCATCCTCCTAATCTGGGTTCTGCATTGCTTAAACACTCTTATATCTATTTCACTGTTTTGGTAATGTCTACTTTTGAAGGTTTAAAATGGCCTATCAAGTATATTTTATATCATACAATTACATATCACATCTTGCTTCTAAAAGCATAGTCTTCAAAGCAGCACCAGCAGCATCTGGAAGCTTTTTAGACATTCAGAATGAGAGTTCCACCCCAGACCTACGGAATCCCAATGTGTGTTTCAACCAGCTCCCTTCTCCCCGCCCCCCCACCCACCCCACAGTGATTCCTGAGTGCATTATAGTAGGAAGAACACTGTCTATATACTACAGGGCTCTGTCTAGATGAATTTGGCCACAGATGCAGAACTTAATTCTATTTATTCTTTTTTATTCCCTTCCCCTTTTATTAATTTGTACTTTTAAAATGAAAAATTATTACATTTTATGCTTTGGTCAAATAGTACTGCATTTCAGAAGGGCCCTGATTTATGTACAAATCTGCATCATCATTGCCAAGAGAACACTCTGTAAGGAATATACCAGGGTCTTGAACATGAAACTTTTCTTCAGGGCAGCAGAGGGAGCACAAGAGTACTTAATAAAGCAAGTGTACAGGCCCTGCACATTGTAAGGGCTTTTTAAATGTAGTAAATGTCTTCATTGGAAGTAGCCTCTTACATAGTTCAAAGCAAAACAAAGACAAGC